CAGTGACAGAGCGTCAATATTTCCGTGAATATTTCGCCCTCGTCGAATGATTGTATCCGATGGACCAGTCTGAAACTCATGTGGTGCTCACACTACAAGTATTCTTATCCACATATCGAGTTTGTCCATCGGATATTATCTTTAGAGGGAGGCGAAATATTATCGGAAGTATTGACGCTCTGCCACTAACTTAGTTGGATATTCGCGAAGGCAACATCATCCCCTTCTATTTGCTTCTTGTTTCAGCTCGTTTTCATATGACGGAAGTATGTCCAGATTAATGAGTGGAGGTTGAGATTAATAGCAGTAAATAAATTGCTATGCCGTGTATTTGGCTCAGACTGAGGGGTGGCACAGGTGGGTTTTTGAAATCGCGCAGCCGAGTGCAAATTTCCGCACAGGAGAGTGCAATTTTTCAATAATTCTGCTCAGGCTAGTGATTGGCACAGATATCGTTCAATAAACTGCAATGGCTTCACATGCCTTTGGGACATACATTTCGTTAACAGATGACGGTCGAAATTTGCAGCCGGCTCTTGTACACAGCTTCACCAACTCAAATCGCAACATATATTTCTCTGAAAATTCCACACCAGTAATTTTTATCCCACCAAATTGGTTTTTTTTTGACTAATCACCATAAAAACGTATGTATTTTTGTATCAAGGAACAGTTTCAAGTACAGCTAATGACATCATATGTGGAGTACCACAAGGGTCAATCTTAGGCCCTGTTTTATTTTTGATATATATCAACTCGATTGTTAACATCAAATTGAAAGGAAAAGTTTACATGTTCGCTGATGACACTACATTGATTTATTCCGCAGACTCAATCCAACAAATCAGAAATGCAATTGAAAGTGACTTGATTATTTTATCTTCATGGTTGTCCTATAATAAATTGAGTATAAATTACAGCAAATCAGCATTCATGTATATCTCTGAACGACGCCTCTCAAGTGAACTAAAATTTGATATCAAATTTAATAATGAAATCATCAAATATTCCACAGCCATCAAATTCCCTGGTATATTCCTTGATGAACATTTGTCATGGTCCAAACATATTGAATAATAATAATAATAATAATAATAATAATAATAAATTTATTCAATAAGCGTTAATACAATAATCAATATAAGTTAGTGTTATACATTTACCGCTTATTAAATAGGTGTGTATTCATGCCAGCATGCCAAAGACATGGTGGAATGATTTTCAATACACCCTGTGAAAAAAAAAAGTGTACTCTCATGAGAGCGTATTAATATAATATATATGTAATGACTATATTACTTAATATAATTAACCTAAATAAGCCTTAATTCGTTGATATCAGGATAGGTAATATATAAATGGTATAACATAAGTACAATCTGGTAACATAGAGTATGGCTAGCATGGTAGGTGAAACTTCACATCTCTCACTAATTACAAGTTTTAAAATTATGTTTTTTTAAAGAATCATATTTTGAAATTGATATTTATTGACCCATCAAGTAATTTATTTTTCAATGCATTTCTAAGATTTTTTATCGACATTTTTTTAACATTCGAAGGAATCATATTCAATATTTTACAAATCATATACGAGAATGAACCTTTAAAGAGTGTTGTAGAGTGTGAGGGAATTGTGAGTATATCGATCAGAAAGAAAATATCTCCAGTAATCGGAGTACTCTACAGGATCAGACACCAAATCACTTTGAAATACTTGAAATGTATATATTTTTCCTTGGTTTATCCAAAATTACAATACTTGATTTCAGTTTGGGGTACAGCTAGATTATCAATCATGAAGCCAATCAAAATCCTTCAAAACAAAGTTATTAAATGTATATACAAACTAGATTACTTGGAACCAACAAGAAATCTTTATAAACCTAGGCAACTGTTCGATATAAACTCCATTTACAAATTCAAAATATTGAATTTCATCCATTCCGTCAAATATAATTATAAACATTCAAATCTGAATTTTGAAGTCAATAGTCATAAACACGAACACATAACCAGACAAAAAGATATGTTAACTCTCATCAAAATTAAATCAGATATGGGTAAAAGATCTATTTTATACAATGGAACAATTCTCTATAATGAATTACCTGCCAGACTAATGAAAAAATTAAGTGTTGAAAAATTCAAAAAAGAACTGAAAAAATACTTATGTCTTTGATTCTCTTCATGTCATCCTGAATCAATTCAAGAAATTATATTTAACAGTCTCTAGAAGAAACATTATATGTATTATGTATATGATTTAAAAATGATTATCTGATTATCTAATTTTTGTTTTTTTTTTTTTAGTTGCTCTTTCATAATTTTCCCTGCTATAAACATGTATGTTTCTTGGGAATAATAATAAAGATAGTATCAATCTCAGCAAAAATAGTCTCAAAGCAATAACGGGATTTCTAACGGGGCATTGTAGGCTCAAAGAACACCTAAGGAAGCTTGGCAGAGGAGGACAGCACCTGCAGATTCTGCCGGGAACATCCAGAAACACCCCATATCATCTTGCTGGAGTGTTTTGCTGTACACCACAAAAGATTGAACATACTGGGATCATACCAGCTGACCGTGGAAGAAATTCCACAAACAGATCCCCTCAAAATCCTCAGATTCCTTGGAGAATTGAAGCTTGAGGGGCTGCTATAAACAAGAAAACCTTGGGATAGTAGAAGAAAATGGGGCACAATAGATCTAACACAAAAGATCGAACATACTGGGATCATACCAGCTGACCGTGGAAGGAATTCCACAAACAGATCCCTTCAAAATCCTCAGATTCCTTGGAGAATTGAAGCTTGAGGGGCTGCTATAAACAAGAAAACCTTGGGATAGTAAAAGAAAATGGGGCACAATAGATCTAACACAAAAGATCGAACATACTGGGATCATACCAGCTGACCGTGGAAGAAATTCCACAAACAGATCCCCTCAAAATCCTCAGATTCCTTGGAGAATTGAAGCTTGAAGGGCTGCTATAAACAAGAAAACCTTGGGATAGTAGAAGAAAATGGGGCACAATAGATCTAACACAAAAGATCGAACATACTGGGATCATACCAGCTGACCGTGGAAGAAATTCCACAAACAGATCCCCTCAAAATCCTCAGATTCCTTGGAGAATTGAAGCTTGAAGGGCTGCTATAAACAAGAAAACCTTGGGATAGTAGAAGAAAATGGGGCACAATAGATCTAACACAAAAGATCGAACATACTGGGATCATACCAGCTGACCGTGGAAGAAATTCCACAAACAGATCCCCTCAAAATCCTCAGATTCCTTGGAGAATTGAAGCTTGAGGGGCTGCTATAAACAAGAAAACCTTGGGATAGTAGAAGAAAATGGGGCACAATAGATCTAACACAAAAGATCGAACATACTGGGATCATACCAGCTGACCGTGGAAGAAATTCCACAAACAGATCCCCTCAAAATCCTCAGATTCCTTGGAGAATTGAAGCTTGAGGGGCTGCTATAAACAAGAAAACCTTGGGATAGTAGAAGAAAATGGGGCACAATAGATCTAACACAAAAGATCGAACATACTGGGATCATACCAGCTGACCGTGGAAGAAATTCCACAAACAGATCCCCTCAAAATCCTCAGATTCCTTGGAGAATTGGAGCTTGAGGGGCTGCTATAAACAAGAAAACCTTGGGATAGTAGAAGAAAATGGGGCACAATAGATCTAACACAAAAGATCGAACATACTGGGATCATACCAGCTGACCGTGGAAGAAATTCCACAAACAGATCCCCTCAAAATCCTCAGATTCCTTGGAGAATTGAAGCTTGAAGGGCTGCTATAAACAAGAAAACCTTGGGATAGTAGAAGAAAATGGGGCACAATAGATCTAACACAAAAGATCGAACATACTGGGATCATACCAGCTGACCGTGGAAGAAATTCCACAAACAGATCCCCTCAAAATCCTCAGATTCCTTGGAGAATTGAAGCTTGAGGGGCTGCTATAAACAAGAAAACCTTGGGATAGTAGAAGAAAATGGGGCACAATAGATCTAACACAAAAGATCGAACATACTGGGATCATACCAGCTGACGGTGGAAGAAATTCCACAAACAGATCCCCTCAAAATCCTCAGATTCCTTGGAGAATTGAAGCTTGAGGGGCTGCTATAAACAAGAAAACCTTGGGATAGTAGAAGAAAATGGGGCACAATAGATCTAACACAAAAGATCGAACATACTGGGATCATACCAGCTGACCGTGGAAGAAATTCCACAAACAGATCCCTTCAAAATCCTCAGATTCCTTGGAGAATTGAAGCTTGAGGGGCTGCTATAAACAAGAAAACCTTGGGATAGTAGAAGAAAATGGGGCACAATAGATCTAACACAAAAGATCGAACATACTGGGATCATACCAGCTGACCGTGGAAGAAATTCCACAAACAGATCCCCTCAAAATCCTCAGATTCCTTGGAGAATTGAAGCTTGAGGGGCTGCTATAAACAAGAAAACCTTGGGATAGTAGAAGAAAATGGGGCACAATCGATCTAATAAGGTCGCAGGGCATCTGTCACCATCCGCACTTACCAATACCAATACCAAAATGTATTTAAGCAGAAATTTTTTTCTCTTGGGTATCCAACTGCGAATTTATTCGGAAATTTTCCGACGTTTCAATGAGAGAATTAAATCAAAATTTTCTACAACTTGTGTAGTAACCCGAAGTTGATATAAACTGAAGAATATAATATTTTACATTCTCAACTGGTATTTTCATGCAAATCATGCAACTACAACAGGTAGAAATCAAGAATTTGTAAGCTAGGAATCTATATTGGTGCCGAAATTGCGACGCGAAATAATATTCTTCAAGAACTTAAGTATATGAAAATCAAATAAATAAAACGATTAATAAAATTTCCATTGGCGTATAATATACGCATTCACTGAGCACAGAGCATGCCACAGCATAGTATTTTTTGATAGTTTGCTTTCTTGAATTATTATTTATTCTTTCAGCTTGGAAGAACTATCGTAGAGATAAGAAGTATATGTATACACCTACTAAATGAAGTAGAATTTATTGGGATCAAATCAAAATGGCCGTGCCGTCGAGAGTCCGGTTATCGTCCTTCGGATTTTTCCCGGAAAATTCCCAGGCGTTTTCCACAAAACTCAGCACCGTCTCAGATGTCAGACTCTCCACACATTTCGGTCTACTTTCGAAGCCCGAGGAAGCAAAAACCTTCCTAGTCTATCCTGATTTAGACAAACGACATTCCACCCCATACGAGAGAAACTACTGCAATATTAAAGTCGTTGATACCAAAAATAATATTTTACCAATCTACGGTCACTGGGCAGGAAGAAAATTCAAGAAACCCATGCAGACTTTCTGTACTGGGAGTAGATACGTGGGTGAATGGAATGCTCTTGGATTTTGTGGAGAAGGGGTTTATAGATATCCACATGGTAAGTGAAGTATTCGGTTCATGTAATTTTATTCAATGAAAAGGGTGATTGGTTATATTTTACTCAATAGCTATCTCAGTTAATATTGGTTTTACAAAATCTTTCAAATTGGCAAGAATAAAGTATTTCCTATGAGCATTCAAAATCGTTTACTAGAAAATGCAAAAAAGTATCGTGAACTCAAAAATTCTACATGAACTGGTTGATATATTTCGAATGGAACACCCTGTGTTTTATTTTTATAAACGTTGAAGCTGATTTGAAATATATACACTGTGTCCCAGATTGGTGCTGCATGTATTGCTATCTCGGTTATCATAAGAGCTACAAAGTCGGTTAAATGGACAATGTTTTTCAGAATTCTATAATCATTTCAGAACTGACATTGAATTTTTAACTTTCAGGAAATCAATTAATTGAACCATTCATTTTTAATTTCAATTTAAATGCAGCACGCGATATATCGAGCTCTTAAGAGACCAAATATTGCCAGCTGTAAGGACAGCTGTTGGAAACTTGGATCAAACTTGGATCAAACTTGGTTTATGCACGATGGTTGTCCAGCTCATAATGCCGCTGTCGCAATGGACTATTTAGAAGAAACGTTTCCCAATAGATTGATTGCGACTAATGGCGACAAACAGCAGCTCAAAATTCATTAGGAAACTTTTAGATTCGCTCATTTCAGTGTTTATTCAAGAGAAAATACCATGTTGTAATACATTTTTGGAAAAGGGATGAAAAATGCTTTTCAGTACGATAAAAATCCAATATGGCGTCCATAAGAAAAAACAAAGTTATGGTCATTATCTCGAAAACGGAAAAAGATATCATTTTGTTTATTTTTTATTGCGAAGACCTTGAAAAAGTGCCCATAAAATGTTTGAACCAAAATACCGTATGTTTTCAAATAAAGAACAATTTTTGTTTTTCCTGATTATTTCCGCAACAAAAAATAATCGAAAAGATTCAATGTCAGCCCTGAAATGATTATAGAATTCTGAAAAACATTGTCCATTTAACCGACTTTGTAGCTCTTATGATAACCGAGATAGCAATACATGCAGCACCAATCTGGGACACAGTGTATGCTTTATTGAGGTTATCTTTCGTCAAATTTTGAAAAATATAGATTTCCTGGTATAGATCTAAGGCAGGTGTAGAACGCCAGACGACAATGCTGCGATTTATAACGTTCTACAGCTGCCTTACAAGCTATATTTTTCGAAAACTGACAAAAGAAACCACAATGCAACAAACTTTCGAAATACTCTTGGAAAGTACCAACAAAATTATATGTTTAAAATGCACTATCTTTCATCCATCGAAGCTCTGTCAATGAACGAAAAATGTAACTTTTTGAATGTTTGTTTCCGATTCTTTTTCATTTCAATGGTATTGAAAGTTTTTGATTTCCTCATGATGAACTTTCCACTATATAAGCTTCGGGAAATTAATTATATTATTTCAATTTGATGAAAAATTATTTGATTATCCATCTGATCTATACCTAAAGTTTATATAGGTAAAAATTGCTGCAACAAAAATATGAATGCTGTCATGGACTCATGGCGCTGAACTGTGAACTGAACTAAACTGTGTAGATGGAAGAGAATGACAAAGTTGAACTTTAGAAAAAGCTATAGTTCAAGACAAAAAAATATTGAAAATATATCTTGCATTCAGAGTACCTACTTATTGGTTGGAAATGAAATGACTCCAATGTTTCAAATTACAATATCACTCCAAAATATCGAGCCCAGTTTTTGCACACTTATAAAGATTAGTTTTTCGAAACCTCACTCGTTCAGAACTCAGAATCAGAACTCACAAATCACAACATTTATCAAAGGAAATACACGACGCACGAGGTGACATACCGACTGGACCGACTCAATTCTGAATGATTGATGACTGTCACGAGGTGCACACGAGGTTATTCATTTTGCCTAAAAGAGTAATTCGATAACATAGTCCTTGGTACCAATAAAAAAGTTTTGTAACTTTTTACTCGTTTCTTCACGATTTCCTCAGATCTCTTATAAATTTTTCCTCTTCTTGGCAAGGTGCTATCTACGAAGGCGAATTCAGCCAAAATGGACTATTTCACGGAATTGGCACACTAACTTATCCCAATGGACAAAAAATTCAAGGAATTTGGAAAAATGGGGAACTGACAGAAGATTCCACATTTATTTTTGCGTGTGGTGAAGTATTAGATGAGGACTTCAGGTATTGCCAGAGACCAGACAGGAGGTAAGTACATCAATCGGATCCCAATCCAGATATCAGAAATATTTCATAATAATACCTATAGGGTGAGTAGCTACAAGACTAACAAACTTCCTTTTCGAATTATTTTCTTTATTTTGAGAAAAGAACGTATGTTCACAGATACATTTTATGGAGTGATCCCTAACGGCGTGACAAATCATAAATCTATTTTTTCAGAGATCCAGTGTTTTATATTTTCTTCGGAATCTGCGACTGTGCAAAAAAATACATATAACATGCTGTATGTGATCCTCTATTTTCTTTTTTATTGCAACTTTTCTGACCGCACAAAATTAATTTTTGATGGGTGGTGGAATCTACAAATTCCGTGTTAGCCATGAATGAGAATATTGTGATAACAAAAAATCACAGATTTTCAATAGATAATTATGAAAAACAGGGTTTTCCATTTAGAAAAATGGATTCGTGGTCACGCTCTTAGGGATCACTCTGCTGTGAAACTTCTAATTAGGGTTGAGAAAAAGCCTTGTACCAGCATCAACTTATTCCGCAAATTATTTTTTTTCTCGGTGAAAAATAGCGTGAATGTAGGATAGATAACCTTGTACATTAAAACATGTATAAGATGGGCCAAAAGAAGTCATCCGATGTTGTTTGGCTCTCATTTTTTTTTCTAAATTAAAAACTTCGATTCTGTTTTTTGAATTATGTTTACCGGTTTGAAGGTTCGAATAAAAATAATCAAGAAACAGAATCAAAGTTTTTTATTGAGAAAAAAATTATATCCAAACAACATCGGATGACTTTTTTGGTCCACCTGACCACCTGTTACCTCCGTGATTAATCTCTGATCTCTTTAATAAATGTTGTGGGGATGACTTTGGGTTTGTTCAACTATGGATATAAATATTTCAGTGTTTCTAGAATGGATCGTGCATCAAAAAATCTGTAAAAAATATCCGTAATCATGGCCACTTTTGAAATCCGACAATTATGATAAGTTATAGCCTAGCTAATATGAAGGAGGTACAGTCGTCTTCAGCGAACATGTCACGGTTGGACGGCGCTCTTATTACAGTGGTGATCAAGGGAGCTGACACCGTCCATGTGCGATATGATCTCTGAAGACGAGTGTACATTGCGTTGGGTCCAAATGTCGATTCACCCACCATCTCCGAACATACCCAAAAGGGTCTTTGTTGTCAAATATTTCCTCGATTTCAATGGAATTAATGGTCACAGTCATTTCGAATCGCCTACATTCCGATTGGACCAAATTTCGATTCGACCAAATTTCGATTCACTCAAATTTTGACTCACCAAAATTCAATTCGTGCAAATTTCAATTCACCCAAATTCCGAAGGAGACTACTTTTTCTGCATAAGGACAGATACTATACCTTTTCAATACTAACTCGGCCTAAATGAACCTTATCTTCCTAGAAATTATATTTTTCGGAAAATTACTTGACAGAACAAAATAGACAAGGTACATTTTATAAACGTTTGGGGAATATTGAAGCATTATAATATGTTTTTTTTGTGACGGGAAAAAAGTTTAGCATTTCATCTCTGTCGGCAGGTTATAAAATGTAAACTTTTTCATAAATTACTTTTTTCCCGTGGGAGTGAGTACTTTTTCCCGGATATATATCACATATATATACACTGTTGATGGCATTTGTTGTGCTATAGTTCCGAAAAATGAGCCAATAATACTGTCTCCAAGAAAGAACTGCAAACTGCAAGTCCTTCTATCTTCCATTCGACTTCGCGGTTACGTATATTACTAAACAATTACTAAATTCGCAATTTTTTGAAATCAAATCACAGAATTAGACTGACAGAAGTGACATCAGATATTTGATTACTTCAAAAGAATGATAAAGATGCCTACAACACGTATGTCCCTACTGTTAAAAACTTAAAATTTCACGTCGATAATTTTCAGATTTCAAAATAATGTAATATCTTCTCAATATTGATTCGTCTTTTCTTCTGTCACAGAAAAAACTAGTGTATTATACAGATTTTAGCTCACGGTTCTACTACTTTTTTCCCTTGTATAATAAATAACTATTTCTTATTTCATTTATTTTTCTTTGAGATTTCATGTCGAAATACAGAAGGAATTGGGGCCAGCAGGTCAAGAATATCTGACGAACGATCAACCTACCAAGAAATTACCGCAGGGCTGCTATGATGTTGGGGAGGGACTGTATGATCCAAAAATTGGTTGCATAATGTCTTTTCCAAAAAGTTATGCAGGAAGTAATACATCAATGAAGTAAGTACTCATTCGAAGCTGAAAATAAAACTATCGAGTGACAAAATAACAAGTTTGAGAAAAATCTGTAATTGACATCTGAATTAACTTTCTCCGAAATCTTCAAAGGACAAACAGAAATCAGATGATTCCTCGGATGATTCAAAAGTGTATTTTATATTTCAAAATCACTGACACAATTGAATTCATTATCACAAAACATTTTATCACCAGAACATAACATATCGAAATAATCATTGGTATATCATAGATGTATAGAAATTCTAACCATCTTAGGTATATCTACTAAGATCTTAAAACTCGCGAGAAACAGTACAACAACGTAAGTCAAACAATGTTACACAAGCAAAACAGCAAACAATTTTCGTTGGTCTTATGCTGGCCCAGAATATGCAAGCCAGAATGGCAAAATTCCAGTAAACATTTATGGGCTAGTACCAATAGAAGACTATGGCCGTCATCAGGACCAGTAGATGTCTGCCGATACATTCAAATAAAAAAAGAGTAGGTACCGCAACGGGATTCGAACTCCGGTCCTCCGGGTACAAATCGAACTTATTCGAACTGAGCTTCTACACCTTTTTTGAAATAATGCGTGTGAGTAATTTATTTTCGGTTAACTTTCGAAGAGGAATATTTCATTTATAATTATACAAACGATGAACAAGGAAAAACACTCGATTCTCCGAATGACTACCGAATTTCTGTTATACCTTTTTTATGAGTCAGATAATATTTGAATGCAATAAATAAAAATACCTATACAGGGTGTCCCATAAGTAATGGATCGAAAGAAGTGGGGTGGTAGAGGATTATTTGCAATCAAATTAACGGTATATGTGGTTATCAAATTGTTGATGGTATTTTTTAAATCTGCCAGCGGCATTTGAAAACAACTCAAATATTGCCTGCAATGAAAAAATTCAAGGAAACCTAATTTTTTTCAGGTAATTGATAATAAAGTAACACATGTCATAAATTTTTTTCTGGGGAAAGGTGCATCCATGTGGATGAAATTTGTAAATGAAAAACTCACAAATGTGACATAGTTTTATTGTAATCAATTATTTTTATAGAAATGAAAAACATAAATAACTTTTGAACCATCAACCGCCCTACCACCCCACTTCTTTTGATACATAACTCAGGGGGACACCCTGTATATGAAATAACGACATATGTCAGATTCTTCATCTCCGAGTCGGAACTGCTGAAGCAATGATCGTGAAATTTGGCAACAGAGTTTACTTTCTGTAACCTAGGGCACCTATGAATAGGGGATTTCATGATCGTACAAAATGTTCACTAAAGGAGGGTGAAATGAGAGTTGAAAGTCTTATATGGACGAGCACTTAAAAATTGGATTTTTCAATTGAAACTGAAATAAAATCCTACTCAATTTGGCACGGTGCCGGCTAGATTATAGTTACACGATTTCAATATACCATTTAATGGGTAGACGATTGTATGACATAGGTGAAAATATAATATGAATTGACACTATGGCCCAGTGCCGGCCAAATTATTATAGGCAAACGATTACAATATGCCATACAATGGGCCGACGTTTGACCAGTGCAGCTTGGCCAGCAATCTGCCGATCATTCATTTGTTGTGCCAAAAGGCGGTCAGAGATTTTTCGAAAAGGAATATTCTCAGATAGATTATGAACATGAAAAAATGAAAAAATGAATTTACATATGAAGCAATACATAGAATTCGCATTCTCTTCGTGATAATGATTCAATTCAATTCTTTCTCGGTTTATTCAACAGAAAACAACTACTTTCCTAGCTATATGCCACGACGAACATTGAATTATATCTATTGAACACACGCGATAAGAATTTGAAAACTAAATCTTCTAAAGTTGAAAATTTGCATTCTCCTTCAGATAAAAATATGTATTTGCACATAACATCATTCTGAATATTCAACAGAAAACAACTACTTTCCTGGTTATTTGCCACATACAAAATGCGAATTCTCAATGTATTTCGACCCGGTGGCCGAGAGCGCGAAGGCGCTGAGTTCGTATGGGGACTCCCACCGAGGCATGGGTTCGAATCCCAGTTAGGCCATGGAGGTTTGTAAATGTATGCTTTCCAAACCCCGCACAAGTTTCGACTTATGGGGCGTTGGATACAGTGCTGGGTCCAACGAGGAAATGAAATTGAAAATAAAAAAAAATAAAAAAATATGTATATCTATTTTTTTTTTCATTTTTTCATGTTCATTATTTATCTGAGAATATTCCTTTTCAATGCTTTCACCCAAACAAGGGGTGCAAACTTGAACGATGGAAACTTGTTATTTTCATCGACCTTCAATCGAAGATTCGTGATTAGGTTTTCTCAATTAAGTATTTCTTTCCACGTCCTGTATGATGATTAACAATTTGTCATACATTAAAAAAAAATTCTGGTTTGCTGGGAAATAGCAACTCAAATATTGATCGGGTTTCATTTTGTAACTATAGGTGTATTTACAGGACTTGATAGTGATCTGCTAATTCAGTAAGTTTTTCAGGATCTAACTTGCGCGGAGCGGTGGTTAGGAACACACCTATTTTTTTTGCATACAAATTCGAATTTACTTCGATATCCCATATCAGCTAGAATCGTTATGATTGGTCAGGGACAGAACAATTTGTGCTTTGATTCTATTTTTTACACATCAACATAATAATTATCTTCGCAGAAGTACATATATACTATTTATTTGAAATATACTGGCTAGATCGATAGTCTTAACGTCAGAATCTAATAGGAGCGAAGCGTATGTCTAAAAATGTAGAATCATGTGCCTATGTGGATTGTGGATGCTATTATTCATTAGTTTTCCAAATCAATCTTGACATTTTTTTTTTTTCAGAAAATCTCATAAATTTGTTTCTCCTGTTACTTTCAACCTGGATGACTATAAAGAAAAACAGTTGAGGTGAGTTAGTAGGTCTCTTCACATTGACTGAAATAACTATTGAATAGTTTTAAACCAAATTTTAGTGTTACTTATTGTTTGGGTCGTTCGAGATAGATTTTAGAACTAAAAAGAAGTTCAAACTGAATAGTAGTAAGAAAAACTAATTATACACGATTTTTTGGATAGCCAAACTAAACAAACTAAAAAGCAGTAGGAAATTAAATAATGAAAGTGTTTTGATATATTATATATTTTCTAGGAATAATATTTATGGTAAAACAACGTTTGCCGGGTCAGCTAGTATTGTACAGGGTGATTCACCATAGATGTCCCCCCCTCTAGCTCACTCATTTTTGAACCGATTTAAAAATTTGAAAAATAATCTAAAATTATTTTTCAGGATTTTTCTTCCTTTTGCATCAGAAAATACAGGGTGCTCGGAACAAACGATCTACAGAGGACTACTTGATTTTTTCAAATGGAACACCCTGTATTTCATTGTATTTTTATATTCTTCCTGAAGAGCTGATTCCATCAATGCATCACACTTTTGGGGTCTAGCGGGGACCATAACAGAGATTTTTCAACTTTAGGATTTTTTTGTGTCGAAACTATTCATTATTGGTCAAAACGGCTTCTATGTCCCCATCTTAATTTTTGATTTACTGTCTTCTGACATTTAATTAGAACATTTACAGGGTGGTTCAAGATTCAGAATTCTGATCACCCTGTATCTGTTCCGATTATTAAATGTCAGTAGATAGTAAATCAAAAGTTAAGATACGGACATGGAAGCCGTTTTGACCGATAATGAATAGTTTCGTCTCAAAAAAATTCTAAAGTTGAAAAATCTCGATTTTGAACACCCTATATCTCTGTAATCATTCCCGCTAGACCCCAAGTGTGATGCATTGATCAAATCAGCTCATCAGGGAGATTCTAAAAATACAATGAAAAATAGGGTGTTCCATATAAAAAAATCAAATAATACCCTGTAGCGAAAAAAAACTTTATCGAAAATCATTTAAGATAATATTTCAAATTTTGAAATCGGTTCAAAAATAACTGAGCTAGACGGGGGACATTTATGGTGAATCAACTTGTACAAGTTTCTTCATTATGGTATCGATGTTATTCAAATATAAGCACTTTATAATGATTGCGTTTTTCAGAGAAATTTCAAGCAAAAGCAATGTTACATCTGAAACTATGATGATGTCTACGAGGTAAGCACATCATTCAAATATTATATTATGAGGTGACCTACTCAAGACCGGAGCACCCATATGAAATTTTCAACCGATTTTTGTGTTTTGCTTCAGCAGAAAGATTATCAAAAGGTGTACGTTTACACATGATTGCAAAATATAATTTCAGTTTTCACAGAATACCTACTGTTTTTTTTTTTGTTCAAGATTTGCGAAATATCATTAGCGATGTTTTTCAATAAAAAATACTATTTCTGCTGAAACAAAAACAAGTTCAGTCCGGTCTTAAGTGTGTCACCCTGTATACGTAGCTAAATTAACTCGTCTTCAGAAAACTTAATGGTTGGACGGTGTAAGCGTTTTACTGCAGATTCGATTCAGATAGTTGATACCATCCATGTGGGACCTGTTCTCTGAATATGAGACTACCTTTTCCAATACAGGGTCCCGCCGATTTAATTGAGATAGTATTGCTGTTTCCTGGAAAGGAGTACCGCTACTCCTGTGCCAGTGGATAAATGTCAATTTGAAAAATAGGGTTATCACATCCACAATTGGCGAGACAACTCTGACAGCTAGAGCAGATAGGGGATGCCCACAGGGAGGAGTATTATCGCCCCTACTATGGGCCATTCTAATGGACGAACTGATCAAAAGGCTAACATCCAAAGGGTATTATTGCTTAGGATATGCCGACGACCTGGCGGTTATCGCTAGAGGTAGATTCGCAAGTACGGTCTCGGAGCTCACACAAATCGCTCTTAACATAATTGACAATTGGTGTAAAGAGGAGGAACTCACCGTGAACCCTCATAAAACCACTATAGTGAATTTCACGAAAAAGAGAGTACTGGAAGGATTAAAGTCACCAGTACTCAACGGGATAGAAATTCCGTTCGCCCTAGAGGCAAAATACTTAGGAGTCATCTTTGACCATAAGTTAACATGGAATCAACACCTACAAAAAATTGTTCAAAAAAGTACAGTAGCCTTCAATCTGTGCAGACGAATGTGCGGGAAAAATTGGGGACTGCAACCAAAAATGACCACATATGGCTCTATGCCAGCGTCATCAGGCCTATGATAGCATATGGGTCAGTAGTTTGGTGGCCAAAGACACAACAGGCTGGAGTGATTCGAAGGCTCAGTGCTATTCAAAGGCAAGCTTGCCTGAGTGCCACTGGTGCAATGAAAACCACTCCAACAGCCGCTTTAGAGGTCCTCTTGAACCTACCACCACTACAAATATATATTCAAGGCGAAGCCAGAGCAGTCGTGAGTAGATTGTCAAGGGGTCAAGCACCCATAAGCAACGCGCACGGTAAAGACTATAGAAAGCTATATGAAGAGTTGGAAAGCGACCCCATCATGGGAATGCCAACGGATGGCATAATTCCAAAATATAGCTTTGAAAAAACTTTTAAAATGAGTATAACGGACAGAGAGGCATGGAAGGAAGGACCTCCTATCAATGCAGACATTGCTGTCTATACGGACGGCTCCAAAACTGAGTTTGGATCAGGAGCTGGTATTTATGGGGCCAAGCCAAAGACAAGAATCTCACTGAGCTTAGGTAAATACGCGACGGTGTTTCAGGCAGAAATTATTGCAATACATCATTGCGTGAAAGAATTGATAAGGCAAGAGTTTAAAGGCAAAACCATTGCAATCTATTCAGATAGCCAGGCGGCAATCAAAGCAGTCAACTCTATGCAAGTTAACTCAAAACTAGTATGGGACTGCTTAGAAACCCTAAATGCACTGGGCAGTCAGAACAGACTGACTCTAGCATGGGTACCAGCACATACAGGGTACGAGGGCAATGAAGAGGCAGACTCACTTGCCCGAGCAGGAGCAAACAAAGCTCTGAATGGCAAAGAACCCTTCTGTGGTATTGCGAAAGCTATACAAAAGACTAGTATCAAATCATGGATGCAAACCAAATCTCAAGAATGGTGGAACAAATCGCCAGGAATGAGACAGGCAAAAGAGTTTATTAAAAAACCATCGCCAACATTCACAGAATATCTACTAAGCCAGAAACGAAGTTCAACTAGAATACTAGTGGGACTTCTCACAGGGCATTGTAGGCTCAACAAACACATGAGTACGATAGGTCTGACTGAAGAACTGCTGTGCAGGTTCTGTCAGGAAGAGGAGGAAACAGCAGTACACATACTTTGCCACTGTGAGGGCTTGTCAAGACTAAGGTTCCTTACGCTGGGTGAGGAAAAACCAGAAGCCCAGAGATACACAGGGGATCTGAAAGCTAGCCTATGGAGTCTCATAGAGAAGACGGGGCTAGCCGAAGAACTCTTATCGATTTTGAGGGCAGACCCAATAGATCTGAAAAGGTCGCGGTGTGGAGGCAGATAGCCCGAAGGCCCCATTCTAAATCTAATCTAATCTAATCTAATTGCTGTTTCCTAAACGGTAAGAGATAAAAAGTTAATCAAATTACACGAAAGCTGCCAGATTTAATCCTCTTAATATGACGTTTTACAATATTTGAAAAAAACTTTCTGCGATATTTTGAAAAAAACTGAAAATCACTGATTACGTTTTTATTTTTTTTAATTTGTTTTATCTCTTGAAGCACACGAAAGGAAACTCCTATGATGTTCGAAGAACATTGCGAGCATTGGCAAGGAATTCCAAAGCTTCGCCGTTCTATAAACGAACGAGTTTTGGTAAAGTGTTGTTCGACATATTTCGAGGTTGACAAGGAAAGGATGTGCTGACTGGGACTGTCTAGTTCGTCTGAGTGGTATTGCTAGTGATGGAATGATTGCAGAGATTTCTGAGGAACATTTCCCGTGGAAGTATCTATATAAAAGTGGAAAGTCGTCGACTTTTTAACGGTCTTCTAATGAAGTCAAAGTATTAGTGAGTGTGGCTTCACCCACCAGCAAAATAGTTATTTGTTTTACTAGGCAGAAAAGTATAGTAGATTGACTGCCGCGGCTGATAGTTCAAATCTATCCCTATTGAATCGGCGGGACCCTGTTATACAGGATATCCCAAAACAAGGTAACATAAATTCTACAGGGTGAACTGGGGAACAAAATAGGCCGATTGAAGTCAACTTACCTTGATACGAAAATGCACCATTGAGCCGTGAGAGGGCGTTGAAGAATAATATTATTTCCAGACACTCTTGAACATTTCAAAATCAATTGAAGGTACTGCTCTGAAATTCGTAGGGCAATTTACTATCGTGAATATGCATGAGAAACTTGTCATATTAATTTAATCAATACACAGGGATATAGATATAACTTTTTTGGAGTACTCCACTGACCACATTTTGATATTTCAGTTAATGACAAAATCAGTTATCTAGCTGCAGTTTTTTTATGATTTTTCTTGCCTTTGGAGATATCTAATAAGATAATTAATTTTGGTGTTTCTCCATACTTGTTCATGATGTGTCAGGATTATCATGTTTTGCAAGTTTCTACCTTATTTGTGTTGAGGTCTTGAGCGGAATAATAATGTTTTCCAATTCTATAGAACCTACGTACATATCCGTACGCTAAATGCCATTTTAGTTATGTGAGTAGAAAAACACTTTTTTTTTTCATCATTGACAGCAGAGGCATGAAGATGGCCTCATTGTCTACATTGTCGACATTGTTTGAATTGTCTTTCTTCTATTCACAGTGATCTTAGAAAAAAATAACCTTCCGGTTTTACAGTCATAACTTTTTTCCTCGGCAACCGATTTTTCAAATCTCAGGCTCATTTTGAGGCTGAAACTTCAGATATGTACAGGGTGGCCCATTTTAGTGTGAGGAAGTGAGATAACGGCTTCGCTGTTTGAGATAGATAACCAAAAATTTCTGAGATGGTCTAAGCTCATGAGCAGCACATTTCTGAAATATTTCACGTCATACGAGATGACTAAGAAATACGCTTGGCGTATCAAAGTTTCGTATACTTTTTCTCATTTTCGTATAGAATTAAGTTGATTTCAATCAATTTTCAATCAATCTATTCTGGTAGTTCACTCTGTATAATTTATGGTACGTTGTTCTGGGACACCTTGTATATACCTTGAAATTTATTAGTAAACACATTTTTCTAATTTCAGTTTGGGATATGATGACGATCAATATTATGAAGTCAATGGTAGACGATTTCTTGAGTGAGTACCAATTAATATTAATTCTATAGTATTACGATTTACCTACTTATTACCTACCTTATTACATCAGATCCTCGAGGTTTTCATATATGTATAATTTTGTCCCCAAAATTATTGATCTCAGCAAAACAATCATATAAAAAAACTACCAACAAAAATGTTCACGATATTTCTGCGACTGATGTTTCATACAGTGTAACATTAGTACGTTGAATATATAGATGACGTATTCCTGAGACAATAACTTTAAGAAAAAAGTCCATACAAACTTGTGCTTGAAAATGTGTTTTTTTTTTCGTTTTTTCAATCACTTTTGCCGTTCTATAGACAAACGAGTTCTGGTAAGGAATTGTTCGACATATATCGAGGATAGAAGAACATTTCCCGTGGAAGTATCTATAGGAAAGTGAAAGGTCGGCAATAATATACAGGGTGGGCCATCATCATTAAAATCATTTCAAAACATACAGGGTGTCCCCCAAAAAAATCCACTGAAGTTAAACTTTTTTTAATGGAACACCCTATATATTATTTCATTTCGAGATTCTCCCGGAATAGCTGATTTCAACGACCCATCGTACTTGGGGTCTAGCAGTAATAATTACTGAGATATAGGGTGTGAAAAATCGAGATTTCCAAGTTCAGGAATTGTTTGTGTCGAAACTATTCATAGTTGGTCAAAATGATTTACATATCCCTATCTAAATTTTTTATTCACTATCGATTGGTATTTCAATAAAATAGATCCAGGGTGGTCAAAAGTCTCAATTCTGAACCACCCAGTATTTGTTTCAATCGAATATCAATTGATAGTGGATAAAAAGTTGAGATAGGGACATGTAAACCGTTTTGACCAATTATGATTAGTTTCGACACAAAAAATTCTTCAACTTGGAAATCTCGATTTTTCACACCCAATATCTCAGTAATTATTACTGCTAGACCCCAATAAGTATGATGGGTCGTTGAAATCAGCTCATCAGAGAGAATATCTGATAATTTCTATTCAAATTGATTTTGAAATCATTTGGATCGATTATTTCAAATCAAAATAACCCGAAAACGGTTGTTCGTAGCGACCTCTACAAATATTATATCGAAGAAAAATCGACTTTTCTACTAAAAAATGTGATACAAATATTATATTGAAGGAAAAACATTCCAAATGACTGAAAATATATGTAGGTAGGACCAAATTCCACTCGATTATTTTGGAATTTACCTCGGAATTTACTGACAAAAACAGAAATAAGAATCAAACTTTGACACTCAGAAACGAACAACATGCCCCTGTATTTTTAATAGGGATCTCGGGATCGACCGATACCGATATTTATATCGGTCTATCGGTGATATCGGTCATTGGCCGATTATCGTATCGGCCGATATCAAAAACCGATAGACCGATATATTTTTTTATTGGGAGAAAAAAATCAATTTGAAGAAGACAAATACAAGTTACGAACTGCAAGAACGTCCGACGACGATAGCGCAACACGTGCATTCAGCAATACGGAGAAATTTCCATGCGAGACAGTACAGTTCTACCAAAATATCTGAATGAATTAGGGAGGGATATTTTTTGGAAAATTCTGATTTCAAAATGATAAAGGACGAAATGGAAGTATTGCTGGAGCTGAAATGAAGTAAAGTTCTACCCATATGTGAAATTCTCATTAAATGCGTGAACGCTCATATTGAGTGCCTTATCACTGGATATATTACGACGGATGCGAATTATGGACGTACATCTTTTTACGGTTTCAGCTATGTTAGTACAACTGTACGAACCACGATGGAAAAAAATTAACGGCCGATAGACCGATATATCGGTATTTGAAATATCGGTACCGGCCGATTATCGGTATCGGCTAAAATTTCTATATCGGTCGATCCCTAATTTTTAACTCGTACTTGAGAAACATAAATATGTATTTAATTGTATTTGTCCAGAATCCCAACTGCCCCAAAGGTAGCTTGGATAAAAGAAAACTGCCGCAAAGCTTGGGACGAAAACATAGGATACTGTCCAGAGTTGTACGAGAAGTGGATGGCAGGACGCAGGTACGAAGTGTTCCTTCAAGACAAACATGAAGTCTTCTATCAAGACAGACACGACAGCCTGTTCGAGGGGGACCCCAAATGGCTCACAAATGGAGAAAAAAGACGCGCGGAAGATTCACAATCCGCAAAGTTTGTTAGATTCGTTCAGAAGAACGCGATAGTATACGATAAATCGGATAGGTCGGACAGGTCAGAAAGATTGAAAAGCATCAGAACCAGCCCAATGAGACATGACAACAGGCAGAAATTTTATGAGAGGGGGTATCCAGAGAGAAGTAAAAATCTTGGAAATGGTTACTACAAATAGAAGAAAGTTTATTGTTTACATGGTGAATGGTATTCAACATATCTTTAGTGGTCATTAAATTCAACTCACCCACATCAAACCTAGTTACATAATTTCACGGAATGTCATAATGAGTGACCCATCTCATAACTTTTTACAAGTTTTTTCTGAGATGTTGAAACAATTCTTCTGTTTGTCTCTCTGTAATATACAGGCAAAATCAATCATTCTTAGACAAGTTTTACTTCAAATTCCTAATATTCACTATATATAAATATACTTGTGGAAACATAAGTTTTATTTCATTCCTACGCCCTGTAGCGGCTATATGGAGCGTTTTGGTATTCGCAATAGAAAATAATCGTACATCACCTATCGGAGTTCTTGAAAGCTGTCAAAGCGGCATGTTTAGTTTGATTTAATTTGTTCACATTTGTTTTTTGTTTGTGCTCATTGGTCATATCATCAAAACAAACCGCTCAGAAGTGTTTAAGTTGCTGGCATCAGGAGAATAGAGGTGAGTTTGGTTCAATCATTTCACTTTGGTCTCAGGAGCAGGAGTCTATGGTATCATATTTTGTACAGACCTTTCAGGGACACCCTGTATAGACTCAAAATTCTTCCACAAACAATAAAAACCAGTTTATTCATTGTCTTAACTATCTTTACTTGAGAAATATCTTATTATTACAACTTCACCATCAAAAATCTATATTCGATCCAAAGCTTCAAGCATCACAATACTGTTGCCCCGGATAACCTGAAATATTACATTAGTCGAATCATCATCAAAGCTTGAGTGCAAATTATTATAAGGTTTGTCTTAGATGATTGTACGTTTTCAATTTTCAATATTCATTACGAAACTCTAAACTCTTCTTTAATGATACTATCAATATATGATAGTGAACATTTGAAAAGAACAATTTGTAATTGTTCATAGCTTTAGGCTATCCAACCGTATTTGAAATAAATAAGTTGAAGATGGTTTCTGGAAAACAAAACGTGGAATTTCAAATTTGGAAACGCCAACTTATAGGGAAAACTATGTGGTAGCCTTGATAATGTACCATTTTGATAAATTTCTTCAAATAACTTGAAAAAGTAATAGAGAGGGTTTTAGGAAATTTTCTTTTTTTTTTTCAATATCTCCAAAAGTATTTGGAATTTCCGGAATTTCAAAACAGCATTTAATTAGGCTAACTTTTTTATAGCTTGGGGCACACAAGAGGAAATCCTTATACCCTGGATCCAATGATGAGGCTCTAATTTGAGCTACCGTGTATCAGAGCATTCCTGTTATTAGGCAATCCAACTCTTATGATCACAGAAAATATCAAAAGTAAAAGAATTAATTGCCATGAGAGCATTATTCTATTGATTTTATGTAGAATGCCAAACAGGCAGCATTGCCAATGAGTGATAATTTGCTCACATCAGTGAGCATTTGAGAATGGGTAGCATTGACCTTAAGTGAGCATTTTGTGAGCATTTCAATCACTTACTTCTGATATTGAAATAAAGACCCATATATGGATAGCTAATGCCACACAAAAGAAGCTTAAAGCTACTCATGATATATAACTGGAGAACATGACCATGTGCATTTAGGACTTGTCATACATCTTACTTGCTCTTACTTATAAATTCCAGCACCAACAAACATGATATGAAATGAATTCAATACTGATGTCATGAACAACTCTGGTTTGAATAAGCTTACTGTGCATTGAGCAGTAAGCTGTGGCAGAAGCATAAATAGAATGATTTTGGTGGTGTGAGCATTTTTGGTTCATATCAGGGGTATTTTAACAACCTGATAACAGCAATGCTGCAATCAGGTGCCATGCCATATTATTGATTCTAACCTAAGGGCCAGAATTACTTGAAGAGACTTGAGTTAGAGATATTTGAAAGTATGACAGCCAATCACAGTATGGGATTAACTTTGGGCTTATATCATTGTTATTCAGAACCAAAGGTATTGAAAGTTTATTATTATGTCACAATAAGTAATTTTACCCTTGGTTTTACCTTCTCACTGTTCCAACACATTCACTATAAAGATGTATCAAAATTGTATACTAACCACCATTCCTATGTTGTTTTTCGACCCATCTCTGCATTCTTCAATGGATTCGTCGACTACCAGGTTCATGAAAGGATCAAATCCTCGCAAAATGCCTGTGACTTGTCTTCCTCCATTCAATTTCAAACAAAGCTTTTTGTCCATGAATCTAAAGATGTAGACCATTAGGTAATGTGAAAGTGTTTTTCATTCATTATGACTTACTTTTTCAATTCTGGTGGGTGAGCTTTGGACATTTTGATTTGATTTCGGCAAATTAAAAAAAATCACTGCCTGATAACCTCAAAAAATACCAAAACTGAGTGATAGTGGTTAGGCCTGTTCCTTTCCCATGAAAGTGTAACACTGAACTACGAACTACACTTTTTCCAAAATAGCGTTCCTTTTCTTCGGTGTGTTGCTTTTACATTGCCATTACACCTTGTCGTTCCTTTGTAACGGTGTAATTACACCGGTGTAGGATATCTCCAGACAGTGTGAAATACACTGACAGATTTTGAATCGTAGTTTTGATAAAAGCAGCGAATCAGGGTGAAATTTAATTTAGCAAATTCCGTATAAACGGTACACCTACGAGAGGATCAGCGTGAAACTGAAAAACTAATCTTTCATAAATTAAAATTCGGTTAGTACTTATTCTTGACAACTCTACAGCCCACTTTACCGTGGATTTTTTTGAGAAGGCCTACATGGAGAAGAGACTCTAGCAGTTATAATTCTACTTGCTAATTTTGAATAACGAGATTGACAGGCAAAGATGGTTATTTAGGCCTCTCAATGGCTGTGACTTGATGAAAATAGGCACATAGCACATCACATCGAAATTAGATGATGGTCATAATACCAGAATACTTCGCCCGTTATTATTTATCTTTGATGAGGGCCGTTACCCCCGATGAGGGCCAAGTAACATCATCATGGACAGCAAATACCACAGTTATATTCACCCTGAGTGATCAAATCAGCTGGTTTTCAGTGGTGGTGTAAATTACACCATGAAAGCAAAGGAACTAAGCTACCGACTCTTGTTTTTGGCACTGTCTACACGATCGCCGCGGCGGTTACCTATTTTTATATAGAAGACCGCCGTGAAATCCGCCGCGGCGGTTGTATACTGACAAGGAGAGTATACATAAACAACCGCAGGCGGTTACCTATATTTATATAGAAGACCGCAGTGAAACATGAGACCTATACATAATTTGTAATGACCCTTTTCTATGTTTAAAAACTCCATGAGCATTATTTTTCATTTTCGATTTCCATATTTCCATATACCTATTCGTGATTTTTTTTCCAACCATTTCATGGATGTTATTAAATTTATTGAGATTGAAGAAAAAAACAGTCATTTGCATCTTTTTCTTTCATCAACGTAAGTGAGAGATGGATATAGATATGTTTCTTCATCGTATATGATGGTGGCTGAGAAGTTAGTTTTGTTGCCCGCTGCTCTGAACGGGAGATATTGATAGATGTGATTTCATGATCTGTTACATTTCTGGTGGGGATAATGTAACTTTTCTCATTTTGGTATTGGAATTTTACCCACAAAAGGATAACTGATAACTCATCCAATCCTAAAATTTCACGCACTCTCTCTACTGCTTGGCCGAGTGGGATAACTTAAAAACTTGGGTCGCTTTATTAGAATCTGTCGTGGCCATAAGCGTTGCATAAGTAACGTACATATATATAGATATATATATCATACATGAACTGACATAATATCCAATGGACCTGTATAAAACATGATAAAACTATTGTATAGAGGTAACCAACCCTAATAACATCTTCTATATATATAGAAACTATAAATTTATTATTTTGCAAGTAATAATTGATGGTCCATCAGATATTATCTTTTGGTAGGGGCAAAATATTATTAAGATTAACCAATCAATTGAGATATCGTATGGCATATATTTCTTGTTTCAATCAAATTTCGAAACTGCGCAAATTTTGCTGCACAGGAAAGTGCTACTTATTAGGATTTGTTACAATCAGTTGCTATACATTCACTTGCTATATATAAACAATTGAATGTATATACTTTCACCTAACTTATTCTAATGGAGAAGTACCGATATCATGAATAAACTTGAAAACATTGTGGTTGTAAGTATAGGTACCTGATTACCTGATATTAGTATATACACTGTGACGAATTTTATTTTACAATAGATTTTCTGGAATAAGATAATTATATAATAGAAAGAAGTTTGATTTGTGGATATTTGGATATTATAATATACAAACAGTGGATTGTTCATATTATATCTAATTATAAAATCACTATCTCCCATAGTCCAAATATCCCCTTGGTTGGGAATATAAGATTTATGAAAAATAATAAAAAACATCATTGTTGAAATTTACTACTCTCCAACTCTCCTAATACCACATTAAGTATATTGAATTATATCTGTCAAATATTGGAAATACTTAAACTGTGACCTGACCAAGACAAAAATCCTATCCATTATATCTACAGAGAACATCTACTTTCCTGGCTGATGGTGTTTGGTTGATGAATATGGGGAATTTGAAATCAAATACTTATAGATGTGGAAATAATAAATGTGCAATGCTGTTTGAAGATAATAATTCATTTACATTGGTTGATACAATACACAAAGTCAATCAAAATACAACCTCTATCTGGGGTGCATTTTTGAAGTACCAGGAGTGTAAAATGCATTAATGTATATAGGTATGTGTTTTAGACAGTATAATTATGTGATTTATATATCTGTGGAATTTTAAAAACAAGTACTTATCCCTGGTAGAGTTTATATCTATAAACTGTCTCAATTTCTATAAACTATAACTAAAAGCAGAATGGAACTCAAGCATAAGAGCATAAATCAACAAGCCTTCTAATCTAGTATCTAGGCCTACTATGGATACCTTACATAGATTTTTGTATAAGCTCTAAAACTTGAAGAAAGTACATACCTAGATAAAATGATTATTCTAAAATATAACAAGGGCTGATAAATGTATTGAACATCTTTTTCAAATTCCCTGAAATACTTCCAACATTCTTGATGAATGAGAATTACATTTACAATTATCTATGTCCTAACATGCCCACCAAGAAACCATGGAATAAAATATTCAATGAGATAAAGATGTCTGTATCCACACTATTTACCATCATCAGATTTATTACTCTTATCAGCAGAGTCACCTACATCGCCCCAATCTGAGAGATCATACTTAGAAAGGTCTCCATCCTCATCATCATCTTCCTCCTCCTCCTCTTCCTCTTCTTCCACCACAGTTTCCTTTCCTCTACTTCTACTTTGTTCTCTTTCATTCCTCTCATTAGCATTTCTTGGGCAATGTTTCTTCTTCCTCCTTCCAAATTCATCATATTCATCATCATCTGATTCACTTCGTTCTTTGTATTCAACCACCCCACGATCATTATAACCCCCACCAAATCCAGTTCGCTCCTCAACTTCTCCAAATTTAGGAGCATTACAGACATTGCATGTTTGCCTTCTTGCCCAATTAACATTGCCACACTTGTTGCACTGCCAGTCATCAGCACTGAAGAGCCCCTTGCTTTTCTCAGCAGCAACCTTGCCAATTTCAGTACCTAGCTTGCGTTTGTTGCCTGAAGTAACAGCATTAACTCTACCTTTATTGCAACGGTTGCAGTTAGTTCTACGGGCGAAGTTTACATTCTCACAATCATCACAGGTCCAATCACCTTCATTAGAGCCATCTCTGGAGCTATGCGTTTTCAAACTAGGGGGTGGTGGTGCTACCAGGTCTTCTTCATCAGACATGTTTTAGGAAATCTGAAACAAAGGCATCAGATTATCTAATTGTGATCTCAACAGGTCAATACTGCCTAGGAATATTGCCTGGGATTGAAAACAAGTTTAAAATTCAATAAAAAGTGAATAATTTCAAAGAGAATTCTAGATTTCATAGCTTTGTAAAGATTGCTACGCCCCTGAATTACCATAATACCTTTACAGACACAAATATATATATTTATGAATGAAGTAGATCAAATTTAGAGGATTCGGCAGGTGTTCTTCAGGCAGAGGTCCCCAAATATCCAAGAAGACAAAATCCAAGATAAGAAGTAAAAACCAAAAACTGAAAACGCATCACACACAACCACTGACACTAGTGACAGCCACCAGTGTTGCCAGACGAAAAAAACTAATTGTACTGAAATCACCATTGAATTGTACTAAAACCCGGTGAAATGTACCAGACATGGAATTTGAACCAATCGATGATAATATTGATGAGAAATCTTTTTTATTCTTCATTGTCATCTTTCCTTATTTCCAGGCAGGTTTGAACATCAGATGAAAAATCGTAGATACCTTTTTTATTCAGATTGAATAAAAAGTCCATATTGCTCAAAGTGAGTGTAATAATTGTAGGGAGGAAAATTCTCAAGACATCTCCACGACATTTGATACATGGTGATGAATTTATCTTCTTTGAAAAAAAAAAAAAAAATTAAAAAAAATTCCTATAACATTCCATTCGGTAGTATAGCTTTAGGAAAAATGTGATGTGATTGGGTTTTGAGAAAAATGCGAACTTAGTGGTTGTTTATTAGTTTTTTTTCTGTGACGGGAAAAAAGTTTGGCATTTCATCTCTGTTGGCAGGTTATAAAATGGCACTTTTCATAAATTATTTTTTTCCCCGGATATATATATCACATGTATATACACTGTTGATTGCTTTTTTTTGTTATAGTTCCAAAAAATGAGTCAATAATACCGTCTCCGAGAAAGAACTGCAAGTCTTTTCATCTTCCATCGCATTCGACTTCGCGGTTACGTACCTATATTACTAAATTCGCAATTTTTCGAAATCAAATCACAGAATTAGACTGCAGAAGTGACATCAGATATTCGTTTACTTCAAAAGAATGATAAAGATGACGTATATGCAGCGTAGAGGTGTCCCTACTGCTAAAAACTTAAAATTTCACGTCGATAATTTTCAGATTTCTAGCTCACGGTTTTTTGTCTCAGAGACAACACAACCTGGAGCTAAAATCTACTACTGTTTTCCCTAGTATAATAAATAACTATATGTAACCGCGAAGTGAAATAGAAGGTAAATTGACTTGCAGTTCCTCCACTTCATTCTCGGAGATCGTGTTATTGGCTAAGAGAAGATCCGGCAACTCTTGCCTCCAAGTTCAATGATTTTTTCGTTAAGGATCCTATCGAATTGGTTAAACAGATACCTACAAGTAATAATGGGGTATTTGATAATGAAAAGGATTTCGACCCTTACACAATGTTTTCGAACCCATTTACGGAACATGAATTACTCTCATTGTTAAAAAACAAACTAAAGGATAAAAAATCGTCTGGTCCAGATGACATACGGAACCGATGTTAATATTGAAAAGAGTTCTTCCTTTGATAATATATTACCATCAACACATCTGGTGAATACGTCATTTGTGAGAGGTGATTTTCCACACAAGTATATGTTCTCATTACTGAGCAAAACCATAGAATACGTTAATTCAGGTGAATGTCCAGCGGTAATTCTTTGTGATCTTGGTCGAGCTTTCGACTGTGTCAACCATCCAAAACTGAGGTCGAAATTATAAATGTATGGAATAAGAGGCGTATCTTTTAGTTGGTTCTCGTCATTTCTTCACAATCGATAGCAATTTGTTTCCTTACAAGTAAAGTAGGTACATTGATGAATGGCGAGGGGTGAGGAGTTGGGTGTTTTGGATGGATCAAGATTCAGAATTCTGATCACCCTGTATCTGTTCCGATCGAATATCAGTAAATAGTAGAAGAAAAGTTGAGATAAGCACATGTGAGCCGTTTTGGCCGATAATGAATAGTTTCGGCACAAACAAATCCTGAAGTTGAAAAATCTCGATTTCGAACACCCAATATCTCTGTAATCATTCCCGATTGACCCCAAGTTTGATGTATTGATGAAATCTGCTCTCCAGGGAGAATCTAAAAATGCAATAAAATACAGTAGTATTCTATATTTGAGATAACAAAGTTGTTGCTACTTTTTGATAGAAACGGCAACACTGCGTTGCATATTTTCATGTATTTCTCCTGACTGATTCTCGATATAGAGATAGTGCATGATAGTGTAAGCTTGTCGTGACATACCCTGTATGTTTCGTACCCTTTATGTTTTTACTTTCCCGAAAAGGCTTTTTAAAAAAGCACTTTATATTTCGAAAGACAAAAATTATTTATTCAATCAGTTATTACAATATGAAAATATACGTCTTTACTCAACCAAGATCATGTCTATTCTGAATTGCGGTTCACAAGGCATTTCGTTCTTTCCCTGAAGTCGGATTTCTGCTGATGTTGATGTCAGCAGGTTCTCACGGGAAACCGGGTTGCTGCTTACATAACTCCTCCATCCCTAAGAAGGAACTCGAGGGTGGAACAACTTGAGTTTCGTTGATGGCCATCCTCTGGGGTTCTTGTGTTCGTTTCTTGCAAAACCATGTCTGGACTCTGCTTCTTTTGGCGATGCATAGGTAGGCTAGGACGCACATGACAAGCGTCGCGACGCTCCCAATGGACCATAGGGAATATCTTCTGTGAAGGCTGATCGTCTCAAGGGGTTCGTCTTGTAGTTGTTGTAGTTGAAGCTCGAGTAGTTTATCAAGGGAAACTTTCTCGATTCGCAGTTTTTCAACATGAAGAGTCGTCATATTGAAAGCTTTGATTTCTTCCAATAAAATGGGATGTCCTATAATGACACCCTTCTCATTCTTGTAGCTGTGTAGGTTGGTGTTTTTATGGAACATGCTGGTGGAATAACAAAGAGGTACGTGCCACGTACTATATGGCCACATTGTTTTCTTTGCAATCAAGATGGAGTTTCTGATTTTCTGGGAAAATACCAATATAATGGGATTCGTTGATTTCTTCAATCAACTGTCGACTGACGTGGATCGGAACTTGTTGGCAGCTGATTGAATTGCTTTCGGCAGACAGAAGTGATGTAATGCAATCCAAGTTCTCTCGAAGGGGTAGAAGATGGTTCTTCTTGCAGAGGTAGTTTGGTCTAAGCTCAATGCATTCTTCGTTGTGGTATTGATAGTCTTCGTTGCTCAAGGTTATGTAGGTTGCAGGAGGTATAATTATTGATTGGTTTCGATTAGGAATTGGAAAAAGGTGGTAGTGTTCAAATGTGTTAGGGTGAACCAAAGGGAAATCAAGTGAAAATATCATTTTGTCATCAGATATAAAAACGCTGGTTTCTACTATACTATAATATTTGAGGTAATCGTCTAAATGAAACAGCATTTGAGATTCAGTATGTGATTTATATAATTCATTTATTATTTCTTTGAGATCTTTTGGAGAAACAATACTATGATGTAGAGTTTTAAGGTATGCGAAACTCACAGCATTTTCAGTTTCTGAAAGGAAATTTAGGAGTGAATCAAGATTAAGTTTAATTTGGTCCAATATATCATGAATTGTCAAATAATGGGAAAATAGCAGAGATTGATCATTTAGGGCTTTTGTCAACAGATTAATTTTATTTTCGATTAAATTTTGATTTTTCTTGAAAGTAGTCATCGTGTCATTGATATTATTCATCAGATTAGCTGTTAATGAAATATGTTTGTTCACCTTCTTGATTATTTTGTTCTGATTGCGTTCGAGTTCCGAAATGCTACCATAGATTTCTTTCGCGTCTTCTTGGTCAAGATTTCCAGTGAAAAATTTCAGAAGTGATCCTGCTGGATTTACTAAGCCTCTTTTTGTTCTCTCTTTAGGAAATAGTGAGTTCATTTTCCTATTTACTGTGTTTACTTCATATTCAAGACGATTATAAATATTTTGTATATTATCGGTTCTAATAAGATGACGATTGTTGATCAGCGTACCCAAATGGTTGTACTGATCGGTTGTTGATTGAATTTGTTGACGTAAATAATCAATTTTGATATAGTGAAGGAAGGTATGGGAAGCGATCTTTATTCTGGCGGTTCCGAGTTTAAAAGGGAGAATACCAGGGTTAGTTTCTAGACTGTGTATCTGAACTTCCTGAGGTTTCGTCAGGTGAAGTGTCATCAACCTGCAAAAGGGGATTGTCGGTCATTTTTCTGGGAGGTTTGAATACTTGTTTGTGGTAGGTATTTTGTGGTGTTGTCACTGTTAGGTCGTTACTTTTGGTCACGTGTTCAGGTCGGTAGAGGGGATTTGTTTTGGATTGTCTATCAGTCAATTTTCTATAACCAATTCGGCCAGGTTCGATATCTGGTGGGTCTTTGCGTTTTTCATTTAATTTGGAAATTACGTTTGATTTCTTTTCTGACATTTTGTCATGAAGTTTACTATATAGGTCGGACATTATTTCTTTATGTTCATTGATTGTATGATTGATTATTTCTGATTGATTATCGATATCTATTGGATCTTTTAGTTCTAAGTGCCCCAATAAGAGATCAACTGGTTTTTGTTTGGTAGCCGAATGAATAGAGTTATTGTATCCTAAAACTGCATAAGTAATTTTTTCGAATGGATTCAGTTTTGGTTTGCTCAAGGCAAGAGTGCGCATATGTTCAAGAATTGTCGAATGAAATCTTTCTACGATTGAATTACTATTTGGATTTAGTGGTAAGGTGAAATGCCAGTTAATTTTATGAACTTTAGAAAAATCTTTCAAGATACTCTGCGTGAATTCTGTTCCGTTGTCGGATATAATATTTTCTGGGATTTTGTATGACGACGTAATAAATTGTAAGAGAGATTGATAGACATGAAGTGCAGACAGACTAGGTAAAATGTATGCT